TTGGAAAATTTTCAAGTTTCAAGTTTTGTTATTCGGCTCGGTCCCGATATATAGACTTAAACAGGATCAGTTGGACCTATATGATAAGATCTTGCATTATCTTCACGCACGACCCACGACGCACGACCCACCCACCCACGCGATTTAGCCTCACCCCAGTCCACAAACTGATGTAATCTTGGGTTTTTGATAAGTGACTCGCTTTTAACGAGTACCCTGTTCTAGTAAAAATCACTGCATGGGTATTGGACCGGGTCGAGCGAAGTGTCCGTGCTATAATCATGATATCTGGTTTCTGCGGGGATAGCAAGTGAACTGTCGGTAATGACGTTGAACTTGCGTAGAGCTGAGACTTGCGTTGGGTGGCCAAACGGACTCACAAGTTTCCTTGCAAGTAAACGCAAGTCGCGACTCTCAAGTTCTCTCAAGTCTCTCGTGTGCCACTTTTTTTTTCTTGCCACATTTGACGTCATCTGTGATCTATTACTGAACAGACGCATAGCAACATGGAATCTCTTTGTTAAGTACGCGGTATAGATGCATGCAGGGGTTTAAAGAAGAAGAAAAGCTAAGTCGATCGCGAGCAACTTAAGCTTCTTTAGTGCTCTGCAAACTCCCAAAAGCAACCATTCCTCGATAGACGCACATATGACATAACGACAGGGCCCGGGGAAGCTGGGGATGGCATAGTGGCGAGAAGAACACTTGCCTTCCACCAATAGGGCCCGGGTTCGATTCCGGCCGGGTGTTAATTGTAGATTGATTTTCTTATTGGTTCTTGCCTTGCTGCGAGGGTTTTATCTCTGAGTACTCTGGTTTTCTCTCTCCAGGAAAACCAACATTTCCAAATCCCAACTCGACCAGGATAGACGACTTGAGTGAATATCAGTCAGGGCTGAGGTGGTTTCCTTTGTCTTTAAATATTGTTATTCTTTAACAGTGTCCGGGCTAGATTCGCATTTCTGTTCGCTAGAATTTGTTCCATTTGAAATGTTTAAACAAGCATGGTATACTTTGGCTCAATAGTGATCTAATCGGCCGTATCATAGAAAGTGAACAATATAAAAGCAGAGATCGATACAACGCAAAATGACTTTTTTTAAAGGAGTAGTACATTTATTTAAGCCTTCGATATATTTACAAAACTAGATAAGCTCTGTTTTCGTTGTCTTTGTTAATGCTCTCTAGGGTTAGAAAATCCACTCCAACAGAAGAGTTAGGGAGGCCTTCATTATGCTTTATTTTCAAAATTAACAAAGATTTTCCTGCGTCGAGCGGACGAAAACAATTTCTTCTAAAGGGCAGCATATTCTTGCAGATGTCGCGCCAAATTGTTGTATTGCAGGTGTAGAAGTGTTGGTGTAAGTATAATTACTAGTGTCGCACGTTTCAGCAACATCTTGCACAGAGTAAAACTTATTCCGCTCTGTAAACTTTAAAACAACATGTTAGGCACCGCAACCTCCAACACGCGTGTATTAATACGCACAACGAAGCTTTTCAGCTTGCAATGCACCACTGTTTTGCAACAAACCGCAAGGAAATATTGCCTTTATTATATGGCCTTTAAAGGCGACAAAATCTACTCTCACTAATTCTTATCTATGGACCTCAGGTCGATACGAGCGTGCATCCATTGAGTTGTGGTGCAGTCTCGCTAGATCGGGCATGATTGTAACATTGAAAATAGCTCCTTATTTGGACTACCAAATAACTTGACTATCCTTATCAATTCGAGAAACTTAAAAATGGAAGACTTACATCATTTACCCTTCTCCACTAGTCTTTACTAGTCGTATTAGTGTTAAAATAAAAAGGAATTGAGGTCACCATGTAGTGGTTCTGATAACCTAAGAATTTTTTGTGTTCAGTCTGTTTTTTACAATTGAAGTATAAACGAAAAAATTAAAAGTTACGCTACAATCCTTTTTTTACAATTGGGGAGATACAACTATTGTCGGAATCTCAATTATAATATAACTTTCAAGTTTTGAAGTGTCTATTTGCAGAGTCATATGTGGATGTCGACAATTTCTTCGAAGCTTTTACATACAAAACCATCGCACAAAAACAGTGACAACAGTAAGAAGAGTAACTCTGTTGAGAGTCAATTGGTGGTTTCTGGCTGAGGAAGCTGCAAAAAAAGATAATATGAGAGAGCTCAAGAAAAAACTTGTAACCTGTTATTCTCCAGTCTGTTTTGCTGCATGCACAATTAGCATTGTCTATCTTATCACAAGTCAATACTGACAGAAATGCAATAAAAAGTAGAGAGTGGACATGGGACAAGACACAACACTGAAAAAAAAGGTATATAATATTGTAATTATTACCAATTTAGGAAATTACCTGGAGAGAATCACCCCCAGGAAATCAATATGTACATTTGCACGCAGACTGAAGATGTGCCAACTGTCTCACGCAGATTTGGACTTCCCTTGAATTCAACCTAGTTTTAAACGTTTACTATCCTTTTTTGTTTAAGTACCTCTTGTGAATCAGGTTCCACCCAATTTTAGCTCAAAACTGAGATCTTAGAGAATTTGTTGTCGCTACCACTCATGATGTCTGTCTATTCCGTATGTCAATATGTCTTAAATAAAATTAGCATTGTTCCTCCAAAAGCCGCGAGTACCACTAACTGATTATCTCAAGCCTTGGCAATATACTGGAGACAATTTAACGAAACTAATTGATGATTCAACACTTACCTTTACAATATCTTCCGTTTCCAGTGTAGCCTTTTCTGCAGGCGCAGGTGTAAGAACCAGGCTTGTTAACACAACTTGCATAAGCGTCACAGAGATGATTTCTTTCGCTACACTCATTGACGTCATCACACGACAATCCATCTCCTTTGAATCCTGGGTGACACGTACAGTCATAGGAGCCAATGGTGTTTTTGCAGATCGCATGCGCATTGCAGTTGTGTGTAGTCGTTTTACACTCATTGATGTCATCACACGACAATCNCATCTCCTTTGAATCCTGGGTGACACGTACAGTCATAGGAGCCAATGGTGTTTTTGCAGATCGCATGCGCATTGCAGTTGTGTGTAGTCGT